GTTACGCTTTCCTAATACCCGCGATGAAGAAAAAGACTGGAGAGGACGTGGACACAGCCGTTTAATTCAAAGCTCAACCTCGTTGGTGTCGTTGAGTCATGTGTGGGGTTTGTGCGTGTGTATTTATATCTTAGATGAGCTAACATCGAGGCCTAGGTGTGAGGATAATCCAAGATAAATATTCGTGTGAATGAGAAGGGAGTTGAGGATCCGCCTAACAGCAAATTTCGAAAAAGAAGCTGAAATCATGAATGTGAAAGGGCTGGATGCATGGCGAATGCTGAATTGTCCCATCCAACGAAATTGCTGATCCGTGTCTTGTGGCCACCCCGATAACTACGCAGATGCACTCTAAGCAACTTACCCAAATCAATGTTGAGATCCAAACAAAATGAGCATGTTTTTTATCAGCTTTCATCAAGACAGCACTAGATGACCTGCTGCTTGCCAGTCACCGAAAAAAACACAGGGAGATTAAATAGAAGATTCTCCAGCATTGCCCCACCCCCCGAATTCCCCTGTCACGTCAGATCTTCACCTGTTCCGTTTTCTTAAAAAATATACCTTGATTGGCAAATCTCCCACTCTACAAAAGTAGTTTCTACAATTTTCTGCGAAACAATGTAAGAGGGTTATAGGAAATGATAGATAGCATACCAATGACGACTACAGAAGTTTGGATTTGATTTGAATCTAAATGAAATCGACTTGTGAACGACCTGCAGTGAGTTGGAACGCTCAGCACTACCCCTCTTTTGTCAGCAGTGAGACTTCTGTCCTTGTTTAACGCCTCCTCCCTTCGTTGTAACAATGTCAATCATCTCTTTTAGCCTGGATTTGTGCCAACACGTTTCCGGGCTTCTTTTGCAATTTCTACTTTAATATTGGATTAATTCACCGGTAAATTATGCTTGGGTACTATTTTGACTGCAATTGAGCAAAATCCAGTTGTTCTGCTTCAGCTGAACAGATTAAAAACCATGGGAAATGCTTGGGTTTTTTGGTAATTTTGAAATCTTGTTAGTGACCATACATATGAACACATTTGGGGTTTATGAGATGGAATTTGACAATCTTGCGAGACGACGTAGGAAGCGTTCTGATCGCGGATTGGAAAATATCTCCTAAGCTGGACTACCTTAATGTGCTCAACCTTGCCACAATTATCGATTCGCCATCGATTCTCGATTCAACCAGATCAGTCGTCATCGAACGTCTCACGGAAGCAATAACGCCGCCACATCCTACAATGCTCATTGTTAGCCTTGCAGATTCCATTGACGTTCAGCCATCTCCTGGTAACGCTTAGTCGTATCAATTCATCCTTCAGGAACAACGAATCGCTAGAAATATATCGATGGAACAACTCTTGGACTTAATTATCGTTCGGAGACGCCATGTAGCTGGCATTATCACCTGAAATTGCTAATCATCCTGTTTCTTCAACACACGATCAACCTTTTGGTTATCAGACAGAAAACGAAGGTTATTAGCGACCCACGATTACGAATCACCAGACGAGAAACGTCAATCTATTCCTTTCACCAAGATAGAGTGCCTTTGACGATCAAGATGATTTGAGAAAGGTGTATTAAACTGACGTTTGAATTGGCTTCGTCGATTTCTGCATACGAAACGATAAGAGGTTTGTCATTCCTGCGTGGTCTCCTTTCTAGTTACTGGTCATGCTATGTCCACATTGAACATCGGCTGTATCCGTACTCTAGATGACTTTGTCGTTCACGTTGGTGGATTTCGTCCGCTTTCGGAGCTCTAATAGCACGTCGTCGGACACAACGCTACCCCCTGTCTGGTGATCTAGACAGCTTTTTACTTGTTTACAGGTCGAGTGAGTAAACGTTTTCATATACGGATCTCCAGGGATTTTGAGATTAAATTGCGTCGATTCAGTTAGCAGAGAACGTTGAATGGCCTTATTGCGGGCTCCAGCTTGTGGTCTTGAACCACGCAGTGGCCCGATTACGCTTCCCCGCTACCCTCGACGAAGAAAAAGATCCGAGAGAACGTGGACACAACCATATTATACTTCAGAACTCAAATACATTGATGTCGTCGTGTCGTGTGCATTCATACTCCAGATATATGAATCATAGATGCTCTAACATCGAGACCTATGTGTGAGTATGATCCAGGGGAGTTGAGGATCCGCGCGGCTGGCGACACGCTTCGAAAAGGGGGACCCTGTGTCGGAGACAGAAGCGACCAAAATAAGGGGTGGGAATCACAACAACCTGTTAGATCTACGTGGTTCATTAACTCAAGCACAAAGTCGTCTGTTTCAGCTTCATGCCCTTTTTCTCCCTCTGACAGACCACTGAGTTTCACCCTCTGGTACAGCTCCCTTTTAATCAGACTCACTTATCATTTTATTGAAGTCTGTCTTGGTAAACACTGAAAATAGCAGCAATAAAAGTTGGTCCTAGCTAAGCCCTTTTTATGACTGCGCAACCATCAGTTATGCTAGGCGACTTCCACCGCTCTCTGCTTACTTTTATGTTCGCCCACCAGCCACTCATAAATTGAGTCTTGTTAATGAGCCCGGAGACGCAGGAGTTAACTTAAACAAAATAAGTATATATAATCGGGAATGAAGTCAGAACACGGGTAATGGCGTTGTTAATCTACGTGGCTTACTTACAGACTCTAACATTGAAATTTGAGCGTAGAACGGTACTCTGGAGAGCTTGTACATAATGCTTCATGGCACCTTCCTTACTGAACATAGCAAAAGCTTCAAAGCACCGAACACTGTGTCATTCTAATCAGCTGGTACGCGTGTCTTATTGAATACGAATTGACACACGAACGTCTGTTGGGCCAAAAACTTGGGTTAAAAATAAGCAAGTTTGAGTGCAACCGAAACTACATCTAGAAGACACATTCGCAACGCAATTTTTCCTAGAAAATTGACTTCGCTTTAGGAATTCAGACGAGCCCTATAAGAATGCCGCCAACCACTTCCGACACAAATCAGCTAGTACTCAAAGACAGTCAAAATAAAGCGCATGTCAAGCTGCATCTCAGGCATCGTGGTAAACACCGGCAACCACAGGACGAGAAGATTACGCTGGAAAAGGTTCAAGGACGAACTCAGACTATTTCTGTTATCTTTGTAGCGTCTTGAGTTGTAGCACTACCTCACAACCCTCTAGTTAACAGCCCGTAACAGCCCGAGGGGAAAGGCAAGGCCGACGATAGCGAATATAGCGCTTTTTATTTACATTTGGCCACCCAAGTCATTTATGGCACAGCGCGTGAGTGCATCTCAAACATCAACTCTAACCGAAAATTGATGATGTCCGACCAACTCGTGAATACGCGTCACTCCTGCCCGTTTGGTAAAAGTTCACTACATCTTTACCACATCCTTTTCCTTTTCTAACCCCTTGCCAACACCACCAGTGGCCGGGGGTGTAACGTTTGTCATATTATTTCTGCAAAGCCGTTTGTTTTACTGTGCTTATTTTGTTGGCACACATTGAAACTCGCTATTTGTGACGCGCGCCATTCGACCCACGCACGCTGGTCAGGCCTGTTCTTCGTCCTCCTCTTTCTTCACGCACTCTCGCCTTCCTCAAGGCACGCCCGTGAGTCTGAGGGCAACACCGACCCTCCTCGCGGTCATCCCTTTCCCCACTCTAACTCTCCCTAAGCTCTTGCCCTCTGAGTTTGCATGCGGTAGTATGGAATACATCCGGTTCTTCCAGCTATTCTTCTATCGTGTGCCTGGTAGCTAACCATGATGGTGTGGCTATCCAAGAGGGACGGGCTAACAGTCAGCGCCCTATTTAGGTCCCCTCTCGGTAGGCGCGTTACATTTTAGTAGTCAGTGACAATGTGTTGTGTACATTTGCTGCTTAGCATTTACTCTTTATTCTACGCATTGCAGTCTTGCCGGATTGTTTCTTCTTTCATTCTGTTTTCTTCTTTTTTAAACAATGCTAAAATTTCTTTTGATATTGCTTTAAATTTTTATGTTTTTTGAGAAATTTAAATCGTATTTTGTGGGTAGAGAGATCAAATACTTAGGATTTTGGGTTTTACATTTCATGAATGAATTTCGATGCAACAAAAACCACTTTCTTGAACTGTCCGCAATGTGAAATTAAAAAAAACGACAAGCATATATTGCAGAGCAGTAGTAAAGATTTATTTCTGAATCTAAAACTAGCCTCTGTAAGCTTTTGCGCAGTGATCGGAAACCATGTCAGTTCGTGATTTACGTACCTCGACAAATTAAAACGCCCCACCATGTAAGCAATCAAATCCGTACAATTTATTCGGATTTTACCGGCAGCATTGAGAGTCCGATTTTCTGGGAATACTCAAGTTCAAACTTAGGTCTTTCAGTAAATGCCTTATTTGTCGGGAAAATGAAGGTCAGAAGAATTTAAATCAGCCAATCAACAGTGCAGGTAAATTGCCACTTTGGTCAAAAGTACCCAAAGGCGTTCGCCAAACTTGGCGTGTCAGTGGATGCGATTTGGGTGGTCATTTGGTTTTTATGAGCCGGTGAGATTCTTTGAAGATGCAGCGACTGTTTTCCACACAATCAGTGATTTACCACGTTGGCCGTCAGTTCGAGCACTTTAAGTCAACACTACGATTCGTAAATTAAATTAGCATGACATAATGCCACATTTCATTCAATCATTCATTCAGACGGTTTAAATTGTCACCATCCACGCACACCAACAATAAACTTATCCTATGTTTCGAAATCTTGTGCGTTGAATTCTCGTGTACACCGACTAGAATGCGTGAGTATGCTGTCGGATAAATTTGGTGCAATAAAATGCTGCACCAATCAGAGCACAGGGATGTCGCAAACGAAAGCTAGCAAGCAATAACTCACGACAACTTCCCACCAAACCGCCGTCTGCTGAGACTCATAAGCCTCAAGTCGAGGCCAACAATTCCGTTCAAGCTATATTTTTTCCACTATTAAAGCAATAAAGTGCCCTGAACATTTGGCAATTCACCTCATTAACACGCTGTTGAAAGCTCCACAAATGACTATCCTGATTGGTCCAGCTCAAGGTCAGGCTAAATCCTCAAGCAATTTCAAAAGCATTGTGTTATCACTATGCAACACCATTTTACCTAGACTGCTTCGGCTAGCTCCCTACCATTAATATTCAGCTATTAGCTGACCAAAGTTATTCATTTGTTCATTTGCATTGCCAGAATTTGAAGTATCTGATGTGACCTTTAGCTTAGCCAATGAGATTCGTCCTGTAAAGACCTTGTTTCCCGGTGGTTGACAATATTCCTGGCCACTCAGGCAAGCGCTTTTCGTGCAAATAACCCACTTTCCCAGGTATTTGCACACGTAAATTTATCTTGCCTAAGAGCACTGACTTTGTGATATATTTTGATATTTTTTTGAAAATTAATTGACCTTACCTTTCCAGAACAACTTCTACTTGTCACAGTTTTAATTTATGTGTTGTTTTTGTTGAGTTTGCAGGCCTCTTCACGGCTCAATTGAGGGCATCAAAATTTGTTTTTCTAAAGTGGCAACTCCGTGCTAAATTTCAGCCCCAAAACTGCCAGTTTTCTAAATGAGTAAGTCCTTAGCCCATAACAATTGCATTAGCAGCAAGGTGCTACAATTCAATTAAACTGTCATCCCTTCATAAGGAACCTGAGTCTGCAATGACACTAAATCGTTTTTTTTTCAACCCAAGACACAACGCATGTCAGTCAAAATGGCAGAAGCGAATTCCTCCCTGGGAAGAATTGATGTCTTCATCAAAGGGGGAAATTTATTCAAGCAGAGGAATTGGTTTGTCAGTCTAAACTCAACTTGATACAAGACGTGCTGATAGGCACGTTCTACTGACAGGGTGGGGTAGGACTGTTGCTGCAGAGACAATGAAAGCTTCATAACAAATCACAACAATGCCCTAGACACTGGTTAATTAACAAGCACGCGGTTAATTGAATTTGCATAGGCTGATTGACACTTGCCCACGGTCGTTTGAGGCATTATGGCAACTGAACAAATGTTCTGATTCAATGGCGTCCTGTTCTGTTAAAATGGCGCCGCGTTGTGTCCCATTGAGGCTCATTAAAGTCGGAGTTGCATTCCCGGCTTGTTGGAAATCGTTGTTTCCTCTGACAATAAAGTCTTACAAAGTTCGACAGTAGCTGCTTCGAAAGTGTGGGGTTAATTTAAAGCCGAGTCTTCTAGCATGGTTGCGGATTTAGGCCTAAGCACAAGTCCAGTCCAAACTCCTTGAAATGCCCAAAATGCAGGATCTAGAGTCAGTGTCTAATTCGTGAGTAGATAAAGCAGCCGCTAGCATGATGGAGGGGAACAATTATCTTTGATAATCCTCACACCTAGGTCTCGATGTTAGTGCATCTATGAATCGCACATCGGAGGTATAAATACACACACGCAAACCCCACACACGACACAACGACACCAACGTGGTTGAGCTCTGAAGTAAACGGCTGTGTCCACGTCCTCTACGGTCTTCTTCTTCATCACGGGTATGATGGAAGCGGAATCGGGTCAGACCCAACACAGTGGCCCCAGTGTGGTTCAAGACCACAAAAACCGTGCTACCATCCCTCTTCTAAATGTTATTTGTTGATTATTAAGGCAGTTTTCACAGTGGGTTGCTAGCATGGGGCTGCTAGGCACGTAGACACTGACGTTGCATCTCGTTGACTGCAGATAGCAAACAAATTATGCCCACGGTGAGCAGAGTTGGAGGATTGTTAGCAATTCCTTAATTAAATCGG